ATTGGCAGCACCCGAATGAATTTACTAAGCAATCTAAGTAAAATTACGAGTAAATTTATCATCAAGTTAAATATGAAAAATATTAAACTTACCTCGTTGCGTAGAGTATGAACCTCGTTCTGCAACGATGCTACAATCTCACGTAGAGCTGCTACCTCACCACATAAAGTAGACACCTCAACACGCCATGCACCATTGTCATCGCGTAAAGTACCGACCTCCTCACGCAAGGCATTGACCTCATTACGTAACTCCCCTAACTCATCCCGTGGAGGTGGAGGTGGAGAACAGTGATATAAACGTCGTGGCATCTTTGCCGGTCGCCTATCATGAGGTGATGGTGGAGAAGAGGCTCGATGATGTGACAGAATAGGTGATGACTCTCGTTGTGGAGGTGTATATTCAGGTCGATCAGGTGATGGCTCTGGGTGAGGTGATGGCTCTCGAAGTGGTGGTTGCTCATCATCCGTGCCATCAAAAAAACGCTTACTAGCTTGCCACTAATCAGTGGCAAGCTCAGCTTCCGTGGGTGTCAGCCTCTGTAATGGAGTGTTGGCCTCCTAACAATATAAAAGCTTAAACAAAGTTAAACGTGTACTAGTAATAACTTGTTTATAAACATATGGTAGTATTTGTGTTAACTTACATTATTTATTATAGTATACGGTAGTAAATCTTCCCATTGCTGCAAGGACTGTTTCCTCTTCCAGGAAATAGCCCTAGGAATATCATTAGAAGTTTTTAATGCATATGTCTGCATGGCGGTAAAGGCCTCAAATATACAAATCTACAAACAATACAATAACAAACATTAGTAATTGTTAAAGAATTAATTATAATTTTGGAAACATTATATAAAAATTATTACCTTAAAGGCCCAAATAAAGCCTGACAAAGTGTATTTGAAACCATCGCCACGCAAACTTTTCCGATCATCAAAGGCAGACGACAACTTATTCCATGTAGCTTTCCATAGATACGAACCCCACGGAAATAGGTTCCATGCATTTAGGTCCTCTATCAATTTAATTAGATCATTAGGAATAGGTTGTCGGGCCTCTCTACCTAAAAAGTCGGCTTACAAAAGTATTAGAAGGCATACTCGGATAACATCGACGTCATCCATCCGAGTAAAACCATCTTCCTTATTCAATAATCTCGTCAAGTCTTCCACGTGTAAATTCGACTTCTCCGTTGACAGCTCAGGAAAAACCCGGGAAAACCATGATAGGCGGGTAATATGTCTAGTGTATCGATCTACATCATCGTGTCCGAAGCGTAGACTGGTGATTAAGCAAAACTCCTCCCGTCCAAAACACGTATACGCCGGTGGAAAATCAAACCATATCTCTTCATCACGACGTTGTATAGTCTCTGGTAGATCGCTAGTCATGGTTTGAAGAAACAGATGGGTTAACATAGCATCTCCACCCGGATGTTGTACTTTCAGCCATGGCCCGAAGCAAGTGTCCTCAAATATTTTTCTTTGTGCAGGTGAAAGCTTCGACGCAATTGTTTTAGCCAGGCTTACTTTATTTCTTAAGGTCAATTGAGCCAAATAATAGTTCTGCGAAAACAATAAACATACCAATTTAGATATACCAAAAACTACACTGTGAAGATATAACAAGAACAATAAACATAAAGAGTAGTAGTTTATTCTTCAAACTTAAATTTGCAACACTGTGAATTTAGTATTTGTCTTTGTTTTTTGGTTGAAGTAATGCAATTCATTCAAGTTTCAATTTGCAGAAGAAGAATAGTTTCTGAAACATTAAATCGCAACACGAAAATGAAAATCGTAACACGAAAATGACTATCGCAACGCGAATTTGACTATCGCAACGCGAAATGAAAATCGCAACGACAGAATCGCATTGCGATAGTCATTCTCGGTTTCAAATACTAAAATTGAAAGAAACTTGAATGGATTGCATTACTTCAACCAAAAGACAAAACAAAGACAAATACTAACTTCACAAGGTTAAAGACTAAACAGTTTAGCAGTATTGGCAGCAATCGAATGAATATAATAAGCAATCTAAGTGAAATGGTTAATCTATTATTGAAAACGCCAGTAAACTTATCATCAATTTCAATATGAAAAACCTAATAATAATGCAAAAATTTCAAAATAAAAAATAATTAAAAAAACTAACTCTCGGTGGTTGATTTGGTTGATTTTCCATTTCTGACCGTGAATGATTTCGCCGGAGATGGAGACTGATATCGTCGGAGATGGGGACTGATTTCGTCGGAGATGGGGACGGATGTCGCCTTAGAGAGTGAGAGATGGAGATGAGACTGAGTTGTGATTTAGGGTTTTAGGTTATGAGTTGCGATTACGGGATATATTGTGGACGGTGTAGTGTTCCGATATATTAATATATTCGTGTTTGGAATTTTAAAAAAAAATACGCGTTGGATACGAATGGCGCTATGTAAATCGCATTGCGATAGTCAGATTCGCTTTGCGATTTACATATTCGCATTGCGATTTACGTATTCGCATTGCGATTTACGTATTCGCATTGCGATTTACGTATTCGCATTGCGATTTACGTATTCGCATTACGAATTAGGAAAATCGCAATGCGAATTTGGAAAATCGCAATGCGATAGTCAGAATCGCGTTGCGAATATGGAAACTGATTTGCGATACTGGAGATCGCGTTGCGAATTCTCGATCGCATTGCGATTTAGTTGGTTATTTTGGCAAATCCAAAAAAAGTTAATTAAAATCATATATTATAAGGCATTTTTAGTCACTGATGTTATTTTCTCTCTTTAATAATATGGGAAGAAAGTAATATAAATGTTTTAAGGTTAACGCAGAGCTGCCTGACCATCTAATCAGACCTGATAATTCAATTTATAGTATACTATGACATAATCATTCAATGCGTTTCACCTCAGCTTTTGTCCAAATTTCGTGGATTCTTCTTCTTTTTCCTTGTGATCCAGTAATGAATGGTTTTATCCGAATCAAAATCTAACGATTTATGGATTTGTATACGTTTAGTCGCATGGTAACTTATAGTCCAATTATAAAAGATAACATATTTTCATAGATGATTCAACTTTGAATAGTATATTTTTACATCATTTAAGGTAATTCAAGTTTCATTTTTCTTTATTAATTCAGTTTAATCTCTTTTAATTGAATATTATAAAATTCATTACGTGGATGACGGTCCAACCTAACTTAGCACTTGTGTTCATAAAGCAATTAAATGGCATGTTATCGGTATTAGTTGTTAGTATGAAATCCACAATGAGTCAAAAATTGTAAGGTGACGTTTGGTTGGCATGAATCTCTTAGAATTAAGGGGAATTGGAATCTAATTCCACCACTTTCTCATATTTGATTCAAGTTTTCCAAGGGAATTGAAATCCCTCATGGCTTCAACTTTCCATTAAATGAGGGAAAGTGAATTACATCCATTCTATGATGGAATTCAATTCCCTTGTTGGAGGGAATTGAAATTTGATCATATTACTCTCATCAATCTTTTGGTAATTTATTCATATATTGAATAAAAATATTTTTTTATTATTTCGGGTCGGGTCGGGTGACACTTTATTTTGGTCTGGTCGGGTCGGGTCGGTTTTTTTAAGTGTGATATTCGGGTCGGGTCGAGTTCGGGTTTAGGGTAAAAAATATCCGACCCGAAAATATATATAATTTTACCTTATATATTTAGGAATAATTACAGTAATACCCCTCTATATATAATTTTTTTCAATTAAGTCACTGTTTTTATCGAATAAAAATAATTTTTTTATTATTTCGAGTCGGGTCGGATTTCTAATTCATATATTCGGGTCGGGTCGGGTGAAACTTTATTTTGGTCGGGTTTTTTTAAGTGTGATATTCGGGTTGGGTCGGGTTCGGGTTTAGGGTGAAAAATACCCGACCCAAAAAATATATAATTTTACCTTATATATTTAGGAATAATTACAATAATACAACTCTCTCTATATATTTTTTCTAATTAATTCATTGTTTTTATTGAATAAAAATAATTTTTTTATAATTTCGGGTCGGGTCGGGTTTCTAATTCATATATTCAGGTCGGATCGGGTGAAACTTTATTTTGGTCGGGTCGGGTCTTAGATGGAGGTTCCCTTGTTCTCGGGTCGGGTCGGGTTGACCAAAAACCCGACCCATGGTCATCCCTAATTGGGATGATTTTAACTTATGACGTTTATTAGCATGATTTTTATAATTTATTGAAATGAATAATCAATCAATAAAATTAAAATTTAATTTTTTTAAAATTTTTATAATATATTGCTACATGTAATTTATAAAACAAACTAAAATTAAGCAAAAAAAACAAGAAGGGCAATCCTGTCATTTTACATTACTGAAATCAAATTCATTTGACATGTCTGCGAACCAAACATAATATGGAATTGGATTCCAATTCCTTCACAGATTCCAATTCCCTCAAAAACATTCCAGCGAACCAAACGTCACCTAAGGGTGCGTTTGGTTCACGGAATGTAAGATTACTAGTAGGAATAAAAGATTACCAGGGAATAGGATTAATGGGAATGTTACGTTACTGTGTTTGGTTGGTTTGAAAGGAATGTAAGATTGCAGTGTTTGGTTGAAGGAATAAAAGAATACTGGAATGTATACTTTACCAAATTGTCCTTGTTCTATATTTTTTAATAAGTGAAATTCTAAATATTTAAATAAAAATTATTTATATAAAAATTCTATCTGTTGATAATATATTACTTGAGTATTTAAATATATCATGTATTATTTTAATTTTAATTAATATTAAATTTTATATAATTTATGTAAAAATATGATAAATAGTTAAAATTTAATCCCCGATAACCTAATTGATGCTGGCTACAATGCTTTAGATTCGTCAACAGAAGAAATAATATATGATAAATAGTTAAAATTTGTTTACAAGACTTAAATTACTTGTAATTTACATAGTTTTGAGAACATACAAGGAACAGGGAGCGCACAAAGGCAAATAATAAGTTTCCAACATGGAGGTAAGAACTGAAAACCAACTCCACTCACGACACCCACATACAACAATGGCGAAATTGTTGTGTTTGCAATTGTTGGTAATTACAAATATTTTATCAGAAGGTATATTGCGACAACCAAAATCATGATTCCGATAACGGCTAATTGCATGCACGTACAGGAACAACCACCTTTGGTTCGCTTGTTCAAAATTGCTAGGTTTTTCTGCGCTCTCTGTTAGCAAAGAAAACAAAATCCTTAGAATCCACTATGACAGTATAATTTAAATAACTAAAAGTCATCCAATTCTTAGTTTACTTGAGATCTTTTTGTCTATTCTAAACACAAATTGAATGACCATGAATTCTATCCTTCCTCCCTAACAAGATTCATCACCAAAGATTTCCCACAACATGACATATTCCGAGGCTTAAAGTCATTTATAGGAATGCCTATTTCTAGTAGGGGGGCTGGATAAATATATTAAACAACAGTCATTCGGTATCATACCTTTCAAAAGCAAAAGGAAGATATTGTGTTATGCATTTAAAATGTTAATTAATAACAAGTCTTTTACCCGTAGGCGAGAATCGGTAACATCAACATGTTCGTCTAGGTCATCCAGCATTGAGAGGGAGCACAATATAAAGTTTACTGACTGTGAATCAATCTTCACCAAGCATTTGCTTTAAAGAAAAGAATAAAGAGCAACATACAATGAGTCTGGTATGCAGATCAAGTTCTTCATTGACCGCCAATGCAATATGCTTTGTACTTAATACTGTCTCCTCCAACTTCTCAAGACCCTCATCCTGCTCTGCTTGAAAAAGAAACGTTCATCATTTGAGGAAACTAAAGCAATTATACAATCCAGCAGGGATGACATTTGAAACTAAAATAACTTGCCTTTCATGATTTGTCGTTGAAGACCAACAAGACCAGAGTTATCCAACCCAACAGTCCTACTCATGGCATCAACCTTTGTTTCAGGCCCCAACAAGCTATCTCGGTTTGCAAAATTCGACATGTTGAATACAGAAGCCATCTGATTTGCTTTTGATCTCAAATTTGCAACCATATCCTTGTGACGGTTCATCTCCTTCTCCGTTTTGTAACCAAAATATGAAGTATTGACAAAAGGACAGTTTATTCCTCATATTACAACATATTCCAATTCGACATATCTTATGAAAATCCCAGCAGACATGATCAAAATTACTAAACACAATATCAATTCACTCCTATTTGCTCCACAATTAAGATAACTTACAAGGGCTTCCCAGTAGGTACATAAGGGACTGCAATCCATCAAGTCTAGTCCCTAAAATCGTAATCTTCCTTCTAATAGCCGATGAGTGACTCTGAGTTTCTGGTCCAGACGCAGGTAAGGAAATCCTCTCAGATATCATGCCATTGATATCATCAGCAATTTTTGCTGCTTCATTATATTCTTTTATCCACGTGTCTGCTGCCATTGACCTAGAATGGCAATCAAATTAAAAGATTATTTAAAAGCACACAATATACACACAATCAGAGGATGAAAGAAGAACAGATAAGAGCAAAATAGAGCAAAATGAAGGGAGGTTTGGAAGGTCAGGGCATTGGTCAGGCTTTAAGTTCTGCATCGGAGGATTCTGCTGGTTCATCGCCGGGGAAGCTGAGGGAATCTGAAGGGTTGAGGGAGGTTGCAGCAGACAAGGCTTTTGGAATCATAATATTTTTGGAATCATAATCTGAAGGGAATATGAAACGTTCACAAGGAGAGTGAATGACTGGAATCATAATATTTTTGGAATAATCAAGGTTAAGAAGCAATCAGTAGAACCATTGAAGCAGCCAAACAGTCCAATACAACAACCAAAACTTAACAGAGGACGCATAAAGAAACAAGCAGATTATTAAAATTGAAAATGTCAGATCAGACATAACCGAACCACTGTTCCTAGTAGGAATTTGACCCAGCTATTGAAATTAAAAGTTTAGGAATCTCACTAGGAAACGATTAATTTTTTGCAGCACGGGAAGAAGAAGATAACCGTAGAGACAAGCTGGAAAAGAGAGATATTTTAACCCTTAACACGGGAATAAAATAAAATCTAAGACACATGAATAAAACACTAAAATTTACTGTTGGTATTATAGCATTACTCTCACTTGGAAATCATACTCCAACCAAACATGGGTATCTTTCATAAAAAACAAACATACCTGCTTGAAATGTTAAATTCCTTGATCTAAACGGCTCCAATGGTCGGAAAGAGAAAGATGGTAAATTTTCCACTATCTTAGACCATGGGTCCCAATTGAAATCTTGTTCATTTATGTTATTTTTTAACAAATTGGAATGGATGTGCCATATCTCCTCCAAATTCCAATCATAATCACATTCAATTGGACCCCACGGCCGTTTTCCTGTTATTTTTCACCTTTTAAGTTTATCCCATCTACACCCCCTACCCCACCTTCACTTTCTCTCCTCCTCCGTCCTTCACCATGAAAAAAATCATGCTTCAGTACAACCACCGCCGTCCACCACCCTCTCCTCCTCATATAAAAACCCACCATTGTTTTGATTCTCCATTTGACCTACAGCAAGCAGAAACATTAAGCCAATATGAGAGTTTCTGCCATTGCTGTTACTTTCAACCCATTCACTTCGCCTGCTACTCTAAAACTCACTCAGACTCAGTCATCTTTTCCATCTCCCGCCATTGCTTCTCTCAAGCTCACCACTCATGAGAATCAAGAGCTTTCGTGGAATCATTTGACTCATTCTAACTCGGATAAACTCGCCAAGAATTGGATGGAGTATCAAGGGATCAATAACTGGGAAGGCTTGCTCGACCCGCTCGACGATGTTCTACGGAGTGAGATTCTTAGGTACGGTCAGTTCGTTGAAGCGGCATATCATGCTTTTGATTTTGACGCTTCTTCGCCGACTTTCGGGTCGTGTAAGTTCACCAAGAACTCGTTGCTGACTCGGTGTTACATTAGGCAGACTGGTTATAAACCGACCAAGAATTTGCGTGCGACGTGCGGGATTCAGTTGCCGGGTTGGGTTGACCGGGGGCCGAGCTGGGTTTCGACTCGGTCGAGCTGGATCGGTTACGTGGCGGTCTGTCAGGACAAGGATGAGATCGCCAGGCTCGGCAGGCGTGACGTGACGATCGCTTTCCGGGGTACGGCCACGTGCTTAGAGTGGCTCGAGAATCTACGTGCGACTTTGACCGATGTGGGTGGTCGTGGCGGTGGGGCCATGGTGGAGAGTGGGTTCTTGAGCCTCTACACTTCTAGGAACGCCACGTGTCCTAGCTCGCAGCAAATGGTGAGGGAAGAGATCGGGAGAGTACTTGAAATATACGGCGACGAGCCCTTAAGCTTGACCATCACCGGCCACAGCCTCGGCGCAGCTCTAGCTATACTCGCTGCGTACGACATAAACACCAGCTTTAACAATGCACCGCCGGTGACCGTCATATATTTCGGCGGACCACGTGTGGGGAACCAAAGCTTCAGATGCCAGCTAGAGCAAAACGGGACCAAGATTCTACGTATAGTAAACTCCGATGATCTTATCACCAAAGTACCAGGCTTCGTAATCGATAACAAGGACCCGACGATCAATGCGTCGGGGCTGCCGAGCTGGGTTCAGAGGCGCGTGGAAGACGCCCAACTAGTTTACGCCGACGTAGGGCAGGAACTGAGACTGAGCAGCAGGCAGTGCCCGCACTTGAGCAAAGAAGGCGTGGCTTCATGTCACGAACTTGACACGTATCTAGAATTAGTTAATGGTTTTGTTAGTTCAAATTGCCCTTTCCGGGCCACTGCCGGTAGAGTTTTATCCTAACAAGTAACACCATCGTGGAAAACTAGGATCTTTGTAGATAGCAATTATAAGTGTTTATATACATATATATTAATATATAGATAAAATTTAATTACAGTGTAAAAAAATTATATGAAAGCTAAAATTATTTGTTTTATGAGTCTGGGTAGTTATAAGTAATATATGTTCAGAATTTTCTTAGTTAATTGATAATGTACGTGTACATATTCTATATATGTAATTTCTTGAATTTGGGACATTGAAGGAGAAAAATACACTCTTTAATCATTGAGATCGCTTAATTTGTTATAAGTTAAAATTATTGAACAAATATAAATAAATGATTAAAATTATCTATTTTCTTTATCTAATTAGCTGGGCATGGCACATGTTATTGCTAATATCTTTATTTATAAAAAAAATATTTGTTATAGTGATGGTATTTTTTTTTAAATTTTAAGAGTTCTTACTTCATGCAAGATCTTAATTGATTGATAGTAACTTAAATACTTTGATCTAATTATGTTTAAATAGTCTTTTTCAATCAAATATCTATTTTTAATTTACAAATTGAATAATTGAAATGTCCAACTCATTAACTTGAACCAATTACACAATTCAATATGTGTCACTCGTACAAATGAAAAAAAATCTCTAATATTATAAATTTTATTATGTATGGATTTTCTTTTGATATATTCTAATTATTAATTTTATTATACTTTATAATAATTAATCCTCATTTTAATTTATTTCAATATATATGACTTGTAATTATGATCCGTGCAGTATTCTTAAAAAAATCGTATTAACCTTTTTCTTTTACCTTCCTCATACTGTTGCCCTAACCCTAAACTTATCATTTACTGAATATCTAATATACGAGTGTATATATATAGCATATAATATTAAATTTCAAACAATTTTTTTTTATAGAAATCCCTAATTTTATTTAAAATAGAAAATATTTACATTACAATGAAGGTTTATGACTACAACCATAAACTAAACATATAATAAAGATATTTTAATAAACACAAGAAAATTAGTCAACTTAAGATCACATAAGGACCATATAAAAATATTTTCCTAAACACAATAAAATTAGCTAACTTAAGATCACATAAGGACCATACAAGGAAAATGTTAAAAAAACCTAACCAAATAAACTTGAACAAAAGATAGATACGAACAGATCTGACCGCATCGACAAACAAACCACAAAAAGGGATAAAGTTATTGAAAGACTATGGACAAACCACAAATCAGAATCGAACAAGTGAAAATAATATATACGAACACAAATTGCGTATCAAAACCAATATGAAGGTCCAACTAGGGAAGACAAGCATAATAACAAATTATCGTCATCTTGATCAGTCATGACGATGTCAAATCTAACCCTGAAAATTATAAACGAAAACAACGGTCAAATGACCGAAAACGTGCCATAAAGGCAAAAAAAAATGTGCCATAAAAATAGAAGAAAACATACCATAAAGGTATAACTATTTAAAATAAAAAAATAAGAAAAAAAAAACAAGATACACTATAATAAAGCAAAAAAAAAGACAATAAATACCGACAGTCGACGACTAACATCAAAATTGATATCTCTGACTACCATAAAGATGAGGAAGTAAAGAAACTAACGACGACTAAAGAAAAAAAAAAGAGAAAATAGGTCAATTTCTAACATTTTTTTAGAATATATTAAATTTGATTAAGAAAAACGTTATATAATATTTTTTTTATAACATTTAATCTAAATTTATCAGGTATTAATATTTATAAAAAAACGTAATAGATTTCAAACCTAATGATTGTTGCTTGATTGAAATAATAAATCAACCAAACTGGTAACTGAATTTATTTAATTTAAAAATATGATATAATTAATTTTAAATATTTTGAAATCGGGTTGGTCGAACCTTCACCCTATAAATTTTCACACAAAAAATATTGTTTGTTTTAATATTCAAAAGAAATTTCATGAATGCAACAAATTAATTGTCTGAGACAAAGCCCACGAAATCATCTCCTCCCATATCACAATCAAACATGATTGTCAAAGCTAATCCTAAGGCGCATGTCTCACATCGTAGAGCAAAACTCCATGCAACACCTTTTTGTGCTGGAAACGAAAATGCACTGTTCTGTCATAACAAATCTTCATAAGTAGTTGAGATTTATCCATTTGGTTGCTTATGAACCAAAGAGAAAATCATCATTAATTGAAGCATCATGTCCATTCTTGTTGAGGCGAACAAAATAGTTTCATTATGAGTGATTCATTCCTTTTAGTTTAGATGGAAAGTTGTGACCGATGAATGAATGACCGTTTGTCGATGTTTTTACATTGTAGAGGGTTGATGATGAGGATGATAAAGAAGAAGGGTCTTAAAAAGGAACTAGCCCTCGTTCTAATTGTGTTGAGGGAATTTATATTGATCTTTAGTGCATGTGTTTACCATAGCATCATTATGACTATTTGTATGTCGACAAAAATAAGAAGATCTAATAATTAAACTTTGGGTTGGTATCAGTAAGTCACTTAGACCCGTCAGAGGTCTTGTTTGAGGATCTTATCTACACATTGTAGTTGATTTGAAAAGTTATCGAAAATTTCGATGAAAAGAGATTTCTACGTGGAGGTCCTCGGAGAAAGAGGGTCGATAGTCTCCAAAGATGTTCTCAAGAAGTATAACAATTCTAAACTCCCATAGGTGAATCGAAAGAGCGTTAGAATCGCTCGTAGTTTTTTAAAAATTTTAATTTTCATATAATTTAGTTTTTTTTTCATATTTTTTATTGATAATATAATTTTCACCCAAATACGAAGTTTAGTTTCGTTGGTGGCCACTGCATTTCTTTATGATTTAAAAATATGGGTAAATACCTAACTAGACTTCCAGTTTTCATTTCTATTGTACTCCATTTTCTATTATTAATTATATTTTGTCCTCTTAAGCTATCCAATTCCGTCTTTGTTTATAATTTTAAATTTTAAATTTTATATCTAACTTTCTAATATAACTTTAGAAAAATTGATACCCCGACATAAATCTTAAGCAGCCCTAACTCCTAACTCCCATGTTGTGTGATGCTCATTCACAAAGAAGGCCATGGCGTAAACATTACCGTAGAAGAAGAAGAAGAAGAAGAAGAGTAGGAAGGTACAAGAAATGAAACGATAATTGGGGAATTATTAAATGCAGATGTATCTCTCAAATATTGTGTGATGCTCATTCACAAAGAAGGCCATGGCGTAAACATTAATCATGTACGAAACGCAACATTTCAAGACCAGACGAATTTATTCTTATCATTGTCGTCACTGTACCTTTGATTACTATTGATAATATAAAATGATACTTAAATATGAGCAAGTTTAAATCAAATTATAAATAGAATGATAAATGATGTATATCTTATTAAAACTTCTTGATTTTTAATCGTTTCATTAAAGATTGTATAGATGTATAAAAAGAAAAAATTATGGTCATAATAATATTAATTATATTTTTAAAATAAATTAATAATTTTTAATGGGTGTTAACTCATGGCATCAAAGTAAAAGATGATAATATTTTATTAGTAGTATGAAATTATCAAATGCATTTATGTGTATATATTAGACTTCAAAAGTTTTTTTTATTATATATTCACATTCCCAATATAAACGTCGAGATTTAAATCCATACAAAATGAAGAAATATGAACATCTTTAACTACTTGATCAATTAATAAAAATATTTTTTTTTTTAAAACAATAATCCCAAAACCCAACAAAACAGTCGTTATCCAATGCTGTTTGCACTTCCTCCGATCTCTTACCAGTGCCATGCAAAACGGACAACCATGCATGACTTTTTTTTTTCTTTCCAAAGGATATAAATTAATATTCGATGCACCGGTTATATATAATTCTATACATCATATAGAAAATTAAATAATATTATTAAAAATAAATTTAATTTAATTATATAACCTGATTCTTCATAAATCCAAGATAAATTCGTTTATTTTTCAAACACTAACACATATCTGCATTTCGCACTGTCACTCGTATGCATTAGATTTCTGTCTGGGCTCCAAACTTTGTAGTGATGGTATGTATGTACTATGGTTAACATTTTTGTTTAAAACAAAAAGAGTTGTATCTATCATATAGATTCATATCATAAAATTTTCGGGCTGAATTATTAGGAAATTCAAATAATAAATTCTAACACTCTTATAAGTAGAGGTGCACAAAAAATCCGAATATCCGATTTTGCCTAAAAAATATCCGAAACCGGATTTTGGAAAAACCGGTTTTTTTTTAAACCGGATCGGATATTTAAAAACCGGATAGTATAACCGGTTTGGGAAAAAATTGAACGACCGGTTTTTTTACCGGATTAAAATCCGGTTTTTTTCAAACCGGATAAAAAACCGGTTTTTTATCCGGAAAAAATCCGGTTTTTTAAAAAAACTGGATTTTTATCCGAAAAAATCCGGTTTTTTTAAAAAAAACCGGTTTTTTTAAAAAAACCGGTTTTTTTTGCAAACAGAAACCGGTTACACCATCCGACCCTCCAAACCGGTTAGGATCCGATCCGATTTTTTTAAAATCCGATTTTTGGGTTGGGAGAAAAAACCGGATCGGTTTTTATCCGATCCGGATCGGATTGAAATCCGGCTTTTGTGCATCTCTACTTATAAGATCGGGTTTGAATCAGGGATGGATCGAAAAGGTGGGTGAGAGCGGTCATTCCCTGAAAATTTAAAATTACTAAATATTTTCTATTGAAAATATGTTTTCGCCCCTGAAATTTTATAAATTCATAACTTTATAAAATTTTTAAAGTTCACCCCTCAACCTAAAATCCTACATCCATCTCTGGTTCGAATGAAAGTATTTTCTATAAAAGATTATTGAATTCAAAACATTGAACAATTAAGAGTTGAAATTGAACTTAAACAATAAGATTGGTAAACAAAAACACATTTTTTTACAACAATGTATCAATATTTATATGCATACTTAATTGGACTTATATCAAACTTAACATGAATTGGCTCGAACCAAAACTAACCGATCCGATATGAACCTAACCTAAAATTTGATCAATCCAATTTTGACCTATATTGGAAACTGAAGCGATTTGATATTGATTCGACTAAAAAAAATAACCATTTTACTATTGACTCGACTTGATGCCCAACTCAACCCAACCTACCATAGATCGAAATTAAATCTAAACCAAAGTTAAACTAACCCGAATCAAAGCTAAATTAAATATAATCGAAACCCAAAATGATTGCCACCTCTATCAAACCACATCAATACTTTTCACATTGCATTTTCAGAATAAAAAATAATTCTTTGATAAATTTTATAATTTTTTTTTAAAAAAAATACAAATATCACGTGACAGATTCACGTCACATGATAATAATATTTCAGAAAGAAAACCATTAAGATTTAACAGTCAATATTTATCAAAGAATCCATGACTCAAGTTTCTTCCACTGTCATGGGTACAAGGACAGTAGGATAAAATTATGGGTATAAATTGCTTAACTTCAGATTGACAAGGACTTAAAAAGTATTTTTTAAATAGAGACTAAGGCTTAATTTGGCTAATCTTAAAACTATAGGGACCTAAAAAAAGTAAACCATAAAAAGTTGGGGACAAGGCTCAATTTAACTAGTCTCAAAACTGATAAGCCCTAATAAATAAATTAAACCGAAAAATTAAAGAAGGCCGGGACTTAATTTGAGTAATCTCAAAACAAAATAATTACACTACCCCTTTCACCCTCAATGTGGTTCTGTCCCTGCAACGGTATGAACTTGTTCCATAGCAAGAGTTGGTAAAATTGCCATGGCCTCTCCATCAATGACAAGAAGTCCGCCATTCTTGAAGCACTTTGTTGACAACTTTGCTCTGAACCACGAAAAGCATTCAGTCAAACACTGCAATTTGTTTGCAAAATTTCGAGTTAATCGAGTCGATCTAACACTTACATGTATATCTTCTTGCTTTGTTTAATACTGATAGCTTCTACCTCACCCACAACTTCATCTCCAATGTAAATTGGAGACCTGAAGTGCAAGTTTTGTGAAACATATATAGCTCCAGGCTAAACAATTTCAGATACTCAAAACAGTTATTTTCATTCCCATATTAACATTTTACTGAATGAAACAATGAAAATGCAGCATAATATAGAGCAGCGAGAGCCCGGATGGAGATCCTAGAAGATGCCCGAAACCAGTTCGATATGTTCATGATACAATTCGGATCCATACACACAAAATGCACTCATTTCGAACGAGGAAAAGGTGGCTCAACATGAAGTTGAACAAGTAAATGACTAGCACACCAAAGGGCTTAATGATGCAAAACTCGACAAGTTAAAAGGGTAGCTCAGGGGAGTGTTTAAATTGCCAACCATTCCCTAGAATTCTCTATTGCCTTCTCTCTTTAGATTATATTTTAACCGACCTATAGAATGATCTATGCCGATTACAACATCAGTCTAAAAATATATAAATAAAGCTTGTCATTTCATTGTTCTGTGTGCGAAGTAATCAATGAGAAATGAGTTCAAAGTGTAACTGATAGTAACATGAGTAGGTGGTGCTTAGTAGAGTGTGACCTGAGTTGGTTCCAACATATATCTAAGAAGCTATGAATAGAGCTCTTCATATTAGCGTGCTGTATGCGGACTGAAGCAATCGATGAGGAATGAGCTCAAAGCCGAAGTGCGAGTAACAAGAGTAGAGTGCATGCAAGAGTAGCGCAGAAGTGAAGAATACAGAAAAATGAACTAATAGAGTGGTTATGAGTGCATAATGTTATTGGTCTTCCTAAACATTCAACAGAAAAAAAACAATTTTTCACTCACCAATCTCCAACAAAGTGCTGTCAAAGTAGAACAATTTAGGATACTGAACAATCAAAGCTAGAGGATTCAAGAGATTGAAATATCAAAGACTGCCAATTGAGGAATATACATGTTTCATGAAAAGCGAATGCTTGGAATTAGGCGATCGAGAATTGTGATCATCGGAGACTTTGAAGTTAATTGGTCCCGGCCAAGATTATCAGTGACTTTGCTCGTATACAATCTTGAGGCAAGTGTGAGGCATTCTCAAGTCATAATGCAAGGTTTTTTTCAAGTATTGTTAGGAAAATTAATGGAGTATTCTCTTCATAAGTCTACTAGCAGGATGATACAAGGCAACCAATCAATGTCGAAGAAATTCTTCAGATAAAAGATCTGATGAACTCAGGGGGGGAAATCATCATGATTCTGTATGAAGCATTTTATCAAGCACCAACAGTGCCAAAATTAAGAAAGTTAAAAAAAGTAGAGGAAACTTACAAAGTGGGAGGAAATAATCCGAGGAAACAATGAAGCAACAAGCAAGCCATGAACAAGCCGATCTTCAAACCCATGAGCTCGAGCAGATTCAGAATCGAAGTGCAAAGGATTTACATCATGACTCACTTTAGAATACTCACTAACATCTTCATTTGAAAATGTTCTTCTGTGTCTTAAAACATCTCCGATTTTAAGCATGCTTGAGGAAGATGATGATGATGAAAAGCATCTAAAAAAAGACCCTTTTACTAAAAAAGAATTTTTAACAAACATAGTTGAAAAATTCTAGTTTGAAGAGGAGAAAGCTTGAACCTTTCAGCTTTCGCGAAGAGAATAGGAGAAACCCCTTTTCTTTTATCGAACTTCTTTAGCCTTTAGGTATTTTTTTCTTATCAATGGCTTATATCATTTCTTTTCGATCCAACGGGTGTAATACACTGGCGGTGATGGGCAAGCTTATTTCAAGGAGATGGTTTTAGAAATTTTCCCCAGAAAAACTGCAAGAGGGCACAGTTGATGTTTTCTATTTATCCGGTGGAAGAAGAATAGACCTGGAAATGAATTTTAGCGAATCGTTCATGATCCGTGAGGCGATAAATTTGTTTATGTACGTTTATTTATTAAATGAATAAACATGAACAAGATTTTATGCTTATTTAATTAAATGAACGAACACGAACATAAGTCTCGTTCGTTCATTTACGTTCGTGAACGTTTGGATATGTTCGTTCGGTTATGTTCGTTCGGTTATGTTCGTTCATTTATGTTTAATCCAATATTCTTAAATCAATTTTGATGATCAATTTGTAAGTATCTTAAAAATATTAATTAATATGATATTCTGATGGTTAACTCCATAATTAATCCAATTTTATTTGAAGATTAAATTCAATATGTTAACCCGTGAGGCACCTCGCATCTATATTCATTTTCTTCCTTTTTTCTCAAACCCTAGTGTTTACTGGAGAGTGGAGACGATCGGTGAAAGCTTCAAAATAAGTTATATTATAGTGAAATCTGAAGTTTTACAGGTCTATTTTCATCTATTTCTCTGTTTTATTTGGCTTAATAGTTAATATGCAAAGTTATTGTGGGTATCTTCACATCTAAAACTCAAGAAAACATCATACTTCTTTCTAGAAATAGATGGGAAGATAAAGCTAACAACCAGAAGTATATGAGCATCAGTAAAGAGAAAAATATATAGAATTTATCAAAAAACAAAACAAAGGTTTCTATGCAATTTCTGAAAAAGAATTTAATAGTGGAAGTAATGGGTTTTCCAGGAAGAATCTATTAATAAGTAGAAAATGCATTTTGATAATGAACTTTTGTTTTCATAGTTTTTGTGTGACCTTTAGTTGTGGAGTAGACTTTAGGTACGTTAAAATTTTGAACGGTGGTTTAGCAATAATATCAGTTAGATATATAGCATCGGAGGAATTTCGGATCTATGTTGTTACCTTGTAGTCCAATTTGTACCGTTCGAAATCTTCATGCTGTTAAATTTTCTACTCTGCCAATGGAAAAAACCATTATTAACAAATCTCACTAAAGTATAACATTGATGTCACAAAACTTTTAGCCGGCGAATTTATTAGAATAACGTAGTGGAAAATGATTGTTCATATGTAATCATGGACCACTAAAATAAATGTTATAGTGTTAAATTAAAGTCGTGTGAATCATTTAATATATTTAAAAGATCGATCGAAATATCTGATGTCTTCAAACATTTCATCACTGCTAATCAGCTCTTACGCTATTTATCACTGTAGATTTGATTGATTTGCATTGTCGACTATTTTTCATGAAAGAACAATGGAAGGTAGGGTCTCCAACGTTTATGTTCGTGTTCATTTATGTTATTGTTCGTTTATGTTCGAGTTCGTTTATGTTCATTTATTTATTAAATAAACGAACATGAACAAGTTATATTCCTTAATGAACGAACATAAACAAAAAAAAAATTGTTCGTTTATGTTCGTGTTCGTTTATGTTCATTTATTCATTAAATGAACGAACATAAACATACCTCCGTTCGGTTCGTTTATAGGCCTAAAGAAGAAGATATAGTTTGGATGGATGAATCCTTCTTCATTAATGACAAGTGTTTTTACACACTTTCTTTTGGTAAAATACCTATTAGGTTCCTCTCAATTTATAAATTAGTCAAATTAGTCTCTTCCAAAAGAAAAATAGAGCAATTTTGTCCTTGTCAATTTCATGGAAGGTGATATCATGTAGTCTGTTAGTTCCCTAATACCTTCCCTCTATTTTTGCAGTTTTTACTAATATGGAGCATTAATGTTCCATGCGCATGTGTATTTTGTATGTATGTCTTATGTCGTGGATATTTTTTGACAGAAAAAAAGGGACAAAGGAGTCTTGTTCCTGCGCATGCATGTATGTATGAATGTCTTATGCTTGTTTTTTGGTTCTGTTCTAATGGATTTCATCATGTTCATCGGTTCATTGAGCAGTTTATACTTTCGATCCTCCGTATTACCTTGATTGCGTAATATGATTACTGTAATCTGCCCTATAGGGATTACTGGCATGCTCTGCAGCAGATCTAAACGCTATTGTATGTTGTCTATCTTAGCAGGAGTGTGTTCTGCTTTGTGCCAAAAGTGGACTATATAGTCTAGATGCTGTTTGGTCATGTGCCAACTTGGAGGGACCATTATCTATAATTGCACGAAGAATTGCTGTCGAATTCAATACTCGTAAGAAAGCTGCATTTCCTTTCTTTCACGGTTCAACCATTCTTCTCTAGTAATTGCTCCTGACAACTTAAAATGTAAAAGCCTTGCCCTTGACATTATCTAAGCTTTCAGAAATCAAGTGTTCTGCAGAACAGGGGAAGCAAACATTGCAAATTCATACTGGCATATGTATCCTGAGCCAAAAAGTATGTCTTATAGTTTCTTGGATATTATTTCATTATCGAATAATTTAATACGGCGTCGAAATGTTGTTGGTGCACGTGCGGTGTTGCTTTTACACGCACACGTCACACGGTTGCAGACCGAACTCTTCTTTCCTATCCAACATTTCTCAAAGCACAACCATGTTGGAAATGTGTATGCAATATGGATTTGATATTTATTGCAGAAGCTACTCGACATGGTATGCTGATAAATGAAGTAGCCGGGGCACGGTCTGTTGTCGGAGACCTTGATGGAATCATCTCCAATGTCACACACTAGTAGAGTCTAGAGGTACTGAAAATCATAAAGCGCAAAGTATCGAAGCGGACGATATCATACAGACGAGTACGGACTGTCATTAATTTGTTTATAAATTACAATGCCAGGTATCTTTGCTGTATATGCTCCTGGACAACTATCTGGTCTTGTATCATTCGTAGACACAACAAGCTCGAGCATAGTTCTTTACAAAATGATAAACTATTAGTTATACTGACAGCATCTTGACAATAAATAAGTCCCCTTTTGAATGCAATCTTTAGCTATTGTTGGAGGGGACAAACCATGAATTTCTCCTCAATTTCTTACGATAATATGGGTTTCTCCTTGAAATCAGAAGCCATTGAACTGGGGTTCAATTTTCAGAATTTGAACCAAATGACACCTCAAACACCAAATGATACTTTCTATATGAGTGCCCCTACTAGCCCGAGGAGAATCAGCATGGAAGTGGGAGGTTTGTCTCTTTAGTGTCCCAACAAGTCCCAATAGGACTGAAGATTCAAGCTACAATGATGGTGACGAGTTCGAGTTCGAAACTAGTCATTGTTTCGATGTCAGTGAGCGCGAGGTTGAGTCAAAGAGGAAGTCCGAGTCCCGACCGGAGAAACCGAAGGAATCACTTCCTGCCATGGCATATGCTGACTAGCTGTTCTGTGATGGGAAAGTGATGCCATTGAAGCCTCTGCCGAGACTTCAATATCATAAGCAAAGCTCGATTTTATCATCCCCTAGGTCGCCTACTGGTGGCCTGAGACTTTCGTTTCAACGTAGGAGCTTGTGGAATGATGACTTCGATCCGTTCATGGCGGCTTTGAAGAACGTCAAGGAAGAAGAAGCCGGCGAATCCCAAGCCAAAAACCATAGACGAGCTCGGTCTATGTCTCCATTCAGGGAGATAACAACACCAAAAGAAACCAATAACATGTTAGTCTCGAACCAGCAGCAAATCAATCAGATGGGACTCATATTACCAACGAAACAATCGGATCAAAACTCAAACAAAATGATGGAGAAAAATGAACCAGCGAAGCCCAAAGGTGTAGCTTTTGTGAATGTTGGCAATGAAGATTCAACAATGGAGGGTGGAGAAAGTGGAAAGCAGACTAAGGGTCAGAAAGTGAAGAACCTTTTGTTTAGGAGTGGTTCCATGAGACCGATGAGCAATGAAAACAAGGGTACATGCCACGGAAATGGAACAGAAACAAGGCCAAAACTTAAGAGGAAGTTTAGCTTGAAGGCCATGGGAATAACCCCACACAGGGAGGAAAAGAATGAGTCTGAAGTGATCCTAATGACGCTTGTACGATATAGACCCAAATTGTTGCTTTGTATGGGTTATGGGGCAAAGTATGGCAAGTGAGGTTCTTTTGTGTTGGATTTAAAAAAAAATGGATTAGGAGTTTATTTGGTACATGAATAGTGGAAATGAATGTATGTTTTATGTATAAATTAGTGAAAGTTTAATACGATGATTTTTAAATTTTACTACTTGTAGGTGGTTATCATAGTTTTCTTCTATACATACCCCATATATGTATTTGACCCGAATTCAACGAGTTTTAATCTGATTCGATTTCATAAGGTCGAGAATTCTTTTCTGAAATTTTGGGCTTGTGTCAAGGCTGGTCAGATTTTTTTAAGAAAAAGGTCAGTTTAAGTCGGATTTAGGTGTAAGGTGAAAAATACTTGATGTGACCAAACTTGTGATTTTAACTAGTGCTCACCTCGGTGACAACATTGTTAGGACTTCCAATAAGCAGTCCTGTACCCTGTACTCTGAACATGAACCTTAAAACGGATACAGTTGAGGCAATGGCATGATCATGACCAAAACTTTTTGTTCTCTATGTAAACAATTGCCTCTTAGAAAACAAACAATCCAGCAATCAGAATTTTAGTATGCCTATTGATTCTACAATTTGTAAACCTGTATTTGAGCTTTTCACATATTTGCTGAAAATCAACAAAATAATGGCTTTCACCTATTGATTCTATCGTATTCATCTATTTGATATGATAGGAACTTGAGCATACCAAGTCGAGTGCCTCCGTAAATACAGCAGAAAAGCTGGTTAATGCTCGAAAAACCCCCGGTAAGCCTGTTTGCAGATTATCCAGAGTCATTGATCTAGTCACCTCTACTGCTTTAGCGTGCCTCTGCATTTCATTTTCCACCCTCCTCTGGCAGGCTGCAAGCTCTGATTTCTTTTCGGCAAGGGGGTCCCGAGCATCCAGAACCAGACCATGATCAGGTCCTGAATCAGGTAGACCAACCATAGAGTACGAGTGGTAGAACTTCCTTTCTATTTTCCGGAGATATGATGCCTTTTTCTCAAGCTCCTTTGATGCAGTTTCGGTTTGCTTCTTAACTTTAAGCTCTTCGGTTTGTTTAGTAGATATCACATGGACAACGTTGATAAAACTTTTGATACCTTCTGAAGCTACGGTGTCAGGAACACGGTCAAGTGCAAGCTTCCACTCGTCGCAAAATGCATATACACCAGAAGGGTCTGCGTTGCCATCGACATTGTCACTGCTGAGAGGAACAAGGGTGTGCTTGAACCAACCATGGAGGGAGCAGGTAAAATCCCGTTGGAATTTTATTAAACGGCAGAAACTAAAGTGCCATGCAGAGATAGCGGACTCAAGATCACGCGTTGCTTGCCGGTGCAGTTTGGAAGTCGAATCGCCTTTCCCTGATCGGTTTATAAGGTCACGGACTTGCTGCACGATGTTGTTCTGAACTTCATGGTATTGATGCATCGACCCCCACATATACCTCAAGCTACATTCAAAATACATACGATTAATGATAGCGACGGCAAAAAAAATGAAATGAAGCTACCCAGAGACTAGCTCTTTTGATGGAAATAATTCACATAAAGAATGGCCTTGATCTAAAGTTGAAGAAGAGGACTCACCCATGGCAAATTTCGACAAGCTGGGGAACAATATTGCTGTCTCTGAGCCCGATAATGGCAATCGAAGTGGTGGAAACAGCCTGAGATGTGACGATAATTAGTGACTGCAGCCTTGTTATCAATGCCTTGGTCTTGTTTATCTTGGTTTCATCTTCCCCTTTGTATTCTTGGCTTTGCAATGCTGATAACTTTTTCTCATGCTCGATCTTTACTGCTTCTCTAGCCTGAAATTGTTAAAAATTTATTGTCAGGTTGAATTATTTGATTTTCTCGTTCGTAAAGATAAGCAATATTGAACTACCTTAAATTTTGTTTCGCGTTCGAAATTCTTATGCCTAACAACCTTTGTCATATCCATCATGGCACCAGCATCCTCCGACTTATTATCCATTTTAATCCCCGCAGCAGCCCCGTACACCGGCTGCAGTAGCGGCGGTTGCAACGGCTGATGAGTCCGATGGAGATGCTGCAACTTCTCCGAGTCGCGGGTCCCGATCTCGGATCTGGACGCCACGTCATCATCTCCCTCCTCTTGGTCCGATGAACTCACTGTAGTGAAACGATCATGGTCATGGTCTCCCGATTCACTGCATTGCACTTCTTCTCTTCCCGTTTCCTCATCGAAATCATTCTTGCTATTAGTATCAGTATTGATATCGTAACGGTGGTTCAGTTTTTCAGGACGGAAGAAATTGTATCCTGATTTCTCCGTTTCGGTATCTTCCGTATCTTCAGGGTAGTTAGAATGTAGATTTCGAGGGCCTCCCACTTTTACCTCACTGTTGAAAATTGGCCTCCAATTTTATTTAACTGAGTTAATTATATCATATGTCCTCAAAATATTATTCTTATTTTAAATTGATCTCTATACTTTTAAATATTTCAATTTAATCCATACACTATAATTATTATTCTAAATTAATCCTTAAACTTTTGAACATATCAATTTTATCCCTAAACTATGACCTTCATTCTAAATTTGGTCCCTAAACTTTTTGAACATTCCAATTCCATCCCAAACTATATGTATATATTAATCACATCTCTTGTTAATAAAATCGTTAGGTCATGTTATATAATTATATGTTTGAAAAAAAATTAGGTTAAATTATGATTGAAACCAATTGCAAATTTGGATGAATTTGAGGATGAAATTTGAATATCCAAAAGTTTAGGGGCTAATTTAGAAAGAGGATCGTAGTTTAGGGATGAAATTAGAATATTCCAAAGTTTAATGACTAATTTAAAAAGAAGATCATAGTTTAGGGATGGAATTAGAATGTTCAAAAATTTAATGACTAATTTAAAAATAAAATCATAGCTTAAGAATGAAATTAGAATATTTAAAAGTTTAAAGATCAATTTAAAATGAAGATTATAGTTTGGGAACATATGCTGTAATTTTATTAACAAACTCTGCCCCTTGAAATCTTAACCATCCATAAGAAGAACAAGTACATTTAACTGTTGACCAAGTTGTTCATTTTTATTTTCACATATTTCTTCAAGTTATGAGTATGATATATTACAAGATAAACTTTTCAAGTGAGACTTATTTTAAGGGCTTAGATGTTCCCAATCGCTCAACTGCATACAACATCAGAATAAAAGGCTATGGTTCTCCTTTGACAGTTTTGTATGCCCAGTAATTCTATATCGAAAACTTCGAATTGTTTCGAGCTGAAAAATGTTGAAGGTCCCACCTGCAGAGGGAAACATGATTTCCGATGAATCGAGTTAATCCAAGTTGATCCAATCAATGGCAGAATCAGGGGATTTAGACATGGGAAAAGAACATTATAGTAGCATTGATGCTTACAATCTTCTTTTCTCGATGGTTTTTTACGTGGCAAGAACTTAAATTTCAGTCAATCTTTGTTCTTCCTACTAATGTACTATAAGAGGATCGAGACCCTCGAAAAGGACCTCGCTTTATCGAGCTTATTGAGAATATGATCCAAACATAATACAGTAAACTACATAACTTACTCCGCTAAGTTGTTTTCGTAACATACTGGAGAAGTGGTTGTTGTTTAATGTTTCAATCAATCAATAGCAAGAAACATCATATAGAATGTTGGTCAAGATAAGAGCCTAGGGAATTGCCTTCCTTTTTTGACATCTAGAGAATTGATTTCGATTTATTAATAAAGCAAATTTACGTTCATATCAAACCTGGCCTAATTGCAGAAGCATGTGGAATGAATAATCTCGATTCCGGTCAGAGGTTATGGTAACATTAGAAACACAAAGTAAACCAGAAAACAAGGGATCATGCTAAAATGAATGGAAATAAGCCATAGGAATCACTAACCGGTGGTCCAAGCTCTGGAGGAATGATTATCCTTCTCTTTCCCCCTGGCTTCATATCCCGAATTCCTTCCTCAAATCCTGCATATATCATCTATTTCAATCGTTTCTATCTGTATATTCCGTTATACAGTTCATTGCATATATTTTGCAGGGGATGTTAAGATTTATACCTGGAACCACTGCATTAGTTCCCACACGGATTCTGGCAGGAGCACCCTGTATATAGGTGCTATCAATGCGCCGACCAGACTCGTTATAACCAATATAGTGAAAGGTGACCTGAAAACCTTTTTGTAGTTAGGAAACAAATGGATATAGCAATCATATACGATATAGCTGCAATAGGTAGCAAAACCGACTTTAAAGAGTAAGAATATAATATGAAATTTTCAGTGTGGACTTGATCATGTTTCTAGAGAGAAGTATTCTCTTAATGATACAAAATTACTGCAAATGTAGCCAAGATATATCATGTGCATGCTGATAAAGATTCCATTGAGCAATAAATTTACAGTGATACCGTAATGCAAATAATGGAAAGGAATGGATTGTTAAAAGACGACGAAAGACAAAACCTGTTGACCAGCCTTTGGGCAATCACCTTTACCAACTTCGTAATCCCGGTATATAAGCCCTGAATCAGTCTTTTTGTAATCCTCCGAAGTTACAACCTTAACCTCAAAGCCTGAATTTGGAAACAAGGTAAATATTTGTAGATGGAGTGCATCCTACTAGATATTACAAGACAGTTTTAACTTCCTATCATTGCAACAGAAACCTTCTCTAATGAAATTCGGAAAGTCTTCGGGAGCATTGTTCTCTTTTTGTCTCCGTTTATTCTGTTCTAGCAAGCGTTTATCGTCATACGGGTTCTTACTCTTGGTCTTTCCGGAAGAAGCCAAGGTCGGAGACAAGCCTGATGAGACTAAAACAAAAAGAAGAAAGCTACGCCTTGAGTTTTCCTTCCGGTGAACACTAGCCCAAAGAAAAATGCCGAAGGTAAGGACCCGGGAAATCTTAAAAAACATAGGAAAGGAAGAGATAAAGATTATAACAGCTGCCTCACCCATTATCGTTTAAGCTGTGACTTGAGCAGAAAATTGCATTTTTCTTCCTTCGAGTGGAGAAATTTCCTACCCGAGATTCTGCTGAAATGTAACATGTCAAAAAATATGAACAAGATATACTAATATAGAAAAGGTATAGAATTATAACACATCTGAGTTCATTGCTCGATTGAGGAAAGAAATTCCTGAAACATACAAGCATCTTAATGCAAGAGTCGCCAAAACCCATTGTACATGACAGTTCAAAATAGAATGAAATGAAATGCATCACCATTGAATTAGCTGCCAATAAGGTAACTCACTCCCGTTTCTGAAGGGGGATTCAGTCCATGTTAATTAGACTAGAGTTTGAGCGTCGGATACAAAGTATGCATCCGACGCACATATGGTTAGATCATATCTCCATGTTCAGGAATGGACATAGGGGCTGGCCAGACAGTCGTCTCCAAAAATAATTAAGTTACCTATTTTTCTTTATTTTCTAATAATAATATATTTTCGATATCTAAAATTTTATAAATTTGCCACATAAATTTTACAAGTTGCCTTAACAAAAAAGATTGCGTCCGACCTATCCAGATTGGGATACACGAAAAAGCCAAATTGGAAACACCTCATGGGTCAAGTGTTTTTCATGGAGAAAGAACTAATAACAGAGAAGATGTTTAAAAGATGAAATTAGAAACACCCAGAAAATGGAAAGCAGAAAAGCTGTTGGAGAACAACATTAACAATTCCGCCTTTTGCAGACAAGTTCTCTTACAAAAAAAAATGAAAACGTAAGAGTGTGTAGGACACTTACAGATAAACGATGGTACGGACAGAAGAGCAGTTGAGAGAATCATGGGCATGGCTCGTCTTCCAGCTTAGAGTGGCCGTTTGCCGCATAAGGCATTCATGTTATCCTCAGTTGGGAGTAAAGCGTCAAATTATCAAATTACCCCCTTCCGTTTCTTGATATTTGTCTTTTCTACCCAAAAGGTTTATTACATGTTTGATCCAGTACGTTTTCTTGTTTTCTTTTGAATTAATAGTGTCTAAACCCTTAAACTTTAAAAAAACTTATTTAAGCTCTTCGATTCTTTTTATACACAATTAAATCATCAAATTTATAAATTAAATCAATTTAACTCCCCAATTAAAATATTAATCAATAACAATTTTGATTGTTAGATACTTATAATTTGTAGGTACTGATGTTCTTTTTCTCAAATATTACTACCACATTACTCAGTATAGTTCTCTATACTACGTTCTATTAAAATTCTAATCAATTCTAAATTTTTGTTAAAAATTAATGAATTTATAAAAATGTATTTGATAATAACGTGTCAACTGATAAAAAATAATTAAATTTAATAATAAATATTAATCAAAAGTATAGATTAATAAAATTTCAAGTTATAGAAACTTAGGCGTAAAAGATTTAAAAACTTAATTACCTTCTAAAAAAAGTTCGAAAACTTACATTTTCTTTTTGGACGAAATACTAAATAGACTCTAACTTTACTAATTTATTCACATAGGTCCCTAGGGAGCGGTTGCCCCCAACTTTTTTAATATTAAAATATGTATAGGGTTACTTATCTAGTCTCTCAATTTTAATTTATTTAGACTTTGCCCCTTCCCTGTCACAAATGCATTCTCTTCGTAAGGCACAAAAAACAAGTACGTGCGTACCAGAAAAATTACACTAAACTAAACAATAGACAAACCGCAAAAGAAAAGAACCATGTATGAAGTTTACAGCTTCGCATATATATGCAAATGATGGGGCAAAAGGGAAGTGCCATGTAGGAACAACCAAATGATCGATGTCTTGAGCCAACAAGGTAAGATGAACAAAAGTAATGCATGTTTGAGTTTGAAGCGTATATGTATATGTGTATGACAGGATTTAGATGCACTCATAGTACAAGCACCTATCAACTATGTCATGGACCTGAAACAGAATAGTTGATTGTCTTGGCTCACGGTTCACACAAAAGCTTAAACGAATATGTATAAATTCCAAATAATGGCTGTTCAAAAAAAAAAAAGAAGAAAAAAGATGAGAATGTGGGGCAAAAACAGTGGGAAATCAGAGTTAATGAAAACAAAAGTTGTAATGATGAACCATTCCATTTTTCTAATCATGTTATGGTCAATTTAGTTAATGATCAGTTCAATCTTCAAGCACCGCTTCTAGTTTCAATCATTAGTAGAATACAAGCCTTCCTATAAGCTTAAACAGCAAACTAAAAACCTGGCGATTCACTTGTCTATCCATGTAGAAACAAATCATAATGACTTGGGAGTCTTAGCTACAAGGCCAGAAGGTGCAACACCACATTGAGCCAATAGAGGCTTTCAACTGTTGATGATCAGAAGGATGTTTCTTAGCGGCTTTCGTTACATCTGCAAACTGAGAAAAATACATCTATGTTTAGCTTAGTGAAGAACCAGAACAAGGGGCACAAATCACCCCATATTCAAACTTCTACATGATATGATTTTGTCATCCAAGTATACATCTTATAGTAAAGCATGATGATGAATAAAATAGCACATTGGTTTGATAAACATGATGGATTAGAGATATTAACAACCATGATGGATTATACCTCCAATGGTCACACCTAGGTGAATGGGATACATGTCTTAGATATAGGTTCCACTCATTATCGTGTTCAGATGAAATACACAGAGCTGAATGGATTATCAAACAATAATATTTGGAAAAGAGTTTTAAAGAATGTACAGAAATACACAAGCAAAGATGTACAGAAACAGAGTTTTAAAGATTACCACGTCAAATAATGCTACTGTGGTATTGAATATTTCCAAACAAATGGCAAGATGGAAGGCTAAACATGGTGGGAAAAATTACCCAGTTGGTTGAGTACCAGCTTGTTGCATCATCTGAGAATATATGCATTCATCAACCCTCTGCTTTGCTAAGGCAACCTGAGAAAAATCCATAATTGAAACAAGAAGAAAGATAAGAAACCTGACAAAGAATCTGAATGGATGCCTTTATTGGAAAGCAACATCAGAGAAGGCAATAAATATATAGAAGGCAGCAAATTAGAGTTTTATTTGATTCCTCTGTTACATTAGATTTTTATTATTGTTTCCTTTTATAACTTTAGTATAGGGACAAGATAGCAGGGAAGGCAAAAAAGGGAATTTAGACTCGCACCAAGGTAGGTCCAGGGTGCCATGATACTCTAAGATGGAATTTCCCACTTATAATGGTGCTGGAGATCCTTCAGGGTGGCTGAAAGGATGCAAGAAATTCTTTGGTAATCAGCAGACTAATGAAGATGACAAGGTAGGCTTAGCGGCCTTTCATCTCTTAGGAGAGGCGCAACTATGGTTTGATAAAATAGAAGAGGCAGGCCTTGATTGGGGTGTTTCAAGGAATGTTGTTTGGGCCACCTATGATAATCACCCCTGGGGGAACTTGCCAACCTGAAACAGACCAGGACTGTAGAAGAATATCAAAGCCAATTTCAATCATTATTGGCTCAGACTTCTGATCTTAAACCGTGACGGGTAGATCTCTTTAGTGTTGGGTTTGTATAGGAACTTAGAATCGATATTGAGATGCAGCAGCCAGGAAACCTTGGAGTTGCAATGAACATGGCTCAAGCATTGGAACATAAACAAAAAGTCTCTTCAAAAATGTCATCTCGAACCAAGCAGAATTGGCCAACCTCTCAAAACGCTGGGAGCAATCCTATCATTCCAACGACTATGAGCTTTAATGCAAAGGGAGGGGGACAGCCAATCAAACCAATGGGGAACAACAGCAAAGTAGGTTAGGTTCTTCTGCACCCTTTATCAAGAGATTGACACAGACAAAATGGTGGAAAGAAGGGCTAAGAGATTGAGTTATAATTGTGATGAGTTCTTTTCCATGGGACACAAATGTAAAAGGTTATTTTGGATTTAAGTGCCAGATTATAAAGGCGAGCAAGATAATGACGAGGAGGATGATCTTGAAATTTCTTTACATGCCATCAGCGATACTCGTAATTCACCTACTATGCAATTGATAGCGAAGGTGTTGGGAGTAACAGTACTGGTACTTCATCGATTCAGGCAGTACACACAACTTCTTAGGTGAAGGTTTGATGCCAAAGTTGGGATCGGATGTATGGGAAAAACCTGGGGTGCAAGTTTGTGTGGCAAATGGAGGATGAGTCTAGCATAGGTATTTGTAAATCAGTATAGTTCAAGGATGCAAATGACAGCTTTCAAACTGATTTTTATACCATACCATTAGAGGGGTTTGATGTGATTTTGGGGGTTAAATGGTTGTGTAGTCTTGGGCAGATTTTGTTGGACTTCAGCTCCTTGACGATGAAATTTGTTGTAAATGAAAAGAAGATACTAGCAAGAGCAGATTCTAGAAGTAGTTCCACAACTTAGTCTAATGCAAGGTCAGAATCAATTACTGTAGTCTTGGATAAACTATCGCTTGAATTCGCACATTTGTTCCAACAGCTGTTTGGGTTGCCTCCTAACAGTGCATGTGACATGCCCTTCTACAGCAAATTTGGGTTGATATCTCCATGGACTTTGTGGAGGGTCTACCCAAGGTTAAAGGGAAATATATACTTATGGTGGTTGTGGACAGACTATCGAAGTAGGCTCATTTTTTACCCTTGGCTCATCTATTAGTGCTATATTTGTTGCTATTGTCTTCTTTGAAGAGGTATTCGGACTTCATGGCTTGTTGGAATCTAGTTTCAGACTGTGATGAGGTTATCTTTAGTTTGTTTTGGAAGGAATTATTTCTTCAATGGTTTTAAAGTAGCCTTTTCTTCAGCATGCCATCCCCAATTTGATGATTAGACAAAGGCGGTTAATTGAACAAGAGAGATGTATTTGTGATGCCTCTCTACTAATCAACAACAACAATGGGTCGATTGTGTTCCATGGGTCTCAATGATACAAAACCTCAAATCACACTACTCTTGGTGCAACCCCTTTCCATTCAGTATATGGCAAGGACCCACCACAGCTTCTTCCCTATTTGGTCGGGTTCTACAAGGACTGAAATTGTGGACAAAAACTATATAAGATAAGGTTGCACTTCTCCAAAATGCTAGGGACAGAGCAAGCTCAACAATGAACGAATAACACTTACGATGTGGGGAATAGAAAGTTGAATTTTAAAGTTATAGGTTGGGTTTAGTTACAACTTCAAAAATATCGACAGCTGACAATAACTAAACAAAAGCATCACAAACTGCTCTCGAAGTATTTTGGTCCTTTTAAGAGCTTAAAGAACATAGGAACAGTGCTTATCAACTTGAATTTCCCATGAGCAGCAAGATACATGATGTGTTCCATGTTTCTTTGCTCAAATAATACAAAGGGACCCTAACCAACTGTTGTCGGAGACTTTCCTTAGTGTGCAACAACAAGGCCTTACCCACCCCACAAGCTATCATTCGTAGCATGCTTAATTGAGGTCAACGGGAAGTGTTAGTGCAATTGGTAGGTTATTTTAAAAAAGGCGCCACCTGAGAACTGTTTGAAATTTTACAAGAAGCTTATCCTAATTTGAGCTTGAGGACAATCTCAACTCTGAGAAGGGAAGTACTGAAGTCGCTGTCTTTAGTGGAAAACAATATTAAAAAAGGAAGGCGATAAATATATAGTGGGCAGCAAATTAAAGTTTTATTTGTTTCCTCTATTATATTAGATTTTTATTTTTGTTTGTTGTATAACTTTAGTCTTGCTAGTCAAGATCCTACATGTTAGGGATCTTTATTTTATGTTAACCTTTTTTTCTATTAAAACTTTTACAAGCTGGTTATACTATACAATCTTAACAAACCAACAATACTTCCATATGACATTATCAAACAGTGTTTTGAAAGGAAAAAAACATCAAAAGTGTAACATTGGTTTACGTCAATAAATCTTTGGGCTAAAAAGACAGAATCTCCCAACCTTTAATGAAAATTATTACCTGTTGAGAGCTACCACTGAACTGAATGTGCCTCACATTTTGTTCTCCTTTCCCACCATAAACCTGCAACAGTAAAACTAATATATTTAGAAGTTGAGGTCACACCAAATTTATAAGCATTGACAACTGACCTAAAACACCTAAAGTTAAGTCCAATAATAGCTAAAGATTGAATCCATAGGGCAAGTAAGAAACAAAAATCCACCTACCTTTATAGTTGCTCCAGACTCGATTCTGATCCTTGAAATATTGGAGCCACATCTACCGATCAATCCACCAATATATGTACCCGAAACCACCATCTCGAAAGTTACATAATCAGCTGCAAGAGTGGTTGTCCTAAAGATGATGTGGTTATAAGAAAATATTAAAATTTGATAGCCACAGAATGTAGCAGTTGGGAGCTAAATTTAGCTTATGGAAGTTATTGATTAACCTGAAGTAGGGTCCACAAATGGCTGGGGTGGGGCAGGGCGAAGCAAGTTAAAATTATATGCTGGACTAATAGAAATCACTTGCCGTGGTGGGTTTTCCCTGAACATGGATCCAACATAGAAGTTAAAAATATTTCATCTTTGGTAGATAGCTCATCATATTTAGGAAATAAACTCAAAAAAACACCACTTATTATACCTGAGTTGGTAAGCAATCTCAGCCAAAGCCTTCAGTACGGCTGGAAAATCACCTGATATCTGTGTTCAGTAAGAATTTAGTCATCATTCAGTGATATCAGAGCAAAAACAGTAAAAAAACAGGACACAGTTAAGATTCAAAAGGGGGGACAACGTTTGCAAGCCTATCACATCAAGCTTTAACCATGTTAAAATCTAACCTGAACAACTCGATCCGATTCATGAGCAGATGCACACAAAGGCAACTGGTTTGGAGCAAGAATTGTGATAGAGGCTCCAGAGGAAGACCTCAGTTTCTCAATGTTTTGGCCAGACATCCCAATTAGGCTGCCTGCTTGCGACCCAGCAATCAAAAGTCTTATAGTATTTGCTGCAACATGTCCTGCACCGACAGCACCGACTTTTGCTGCTTCTGTACTACCATTATCTTCCTATTAATGAATAGGGTACAAAAAAACACACACGGTTCAAAAACAACGATAAACCCTATAAAAGTAACAAAAATACATTTCCGTGCTCTTATGCCTTGAAATTCATCCTTTCTGTTTCAGTTACACTAGCAGTAAAAAGGGGTTACCATTAGGATTAAAGTAGCTATTTGCGGGAGTGCATTTTCCGCATCAGAAACCATGTTCTCATTATCTTTAGAGCTTATAATAATGACACGGTCTTCATATCGCTGCGAAACATTGACAAATTAATTAACCAAATACTTAATAGAAAGAATAATCAAATGGAAGACGAAATATAAAAAATTACTGATGTTACTGAACTTACGACGATTGCATCGGCGATTTTGATGTTGGCTTTGGTGTCTTCACGAATCTTTTGGATTCTATGACCTCCTTTGCCGATTACTTTACCGATCTGCTTCGAAGGAACGACGATACGAAAAATAACGTCTTGAGCTTTCGCAAGTCGTTTTGGGGCTGATTCTCCCGTATCATATGCCGCCGTAGGGTCTTCTTCCTGGCGGCGGCGTTTGGCTGTGGACAAAAGATCCTTTTGGGGTGGATGCTGGGATTGGACCGGGTACGGTGGTTGAGCTTCGATTTGAGAGGCAGGATGCAGTGGGGGATTTATAGGAATTTCACCAGGCTGAGCCATCGCCGGTGGTTCAGCTAAAGCTAGAGAAAAGAGGGAGAAGCGTATCCTTACGATAACTTGGAACTTAAAGGGCATTTGGAACTTCAGACTCGGATCACAAAAGTAAATAGGCTAATTAGATATTGCATTTTTTAAGGTACTTTTAAAATTTACGTAGAAAATATTTTTTTAGGCTTAAATATACAAAAGGTGTCCAATCTATGTTCGTTTTTTCATTTTAGTACCTAACTTTTATTTTATTACAGTTTGGTACCTAATGTTTCATTTCGTTACTCAAAATGGGTCAAGTCGTGACGGACTGTTAGTTTTGTCTGTTAAGTGACACGTGACACAATCTTGTAATTTTGAAATTTATTTTTTAAAAAAATAAAAATATTATTATATTTATAAAAAAAAACGTATTTCTTTTAAATTACAAAAAGCTCAAAATCCCGAAATCCTAACACTAACCCGTCATCGTCGCCCTTTTCGGCCACGAACACTGTCGTCGATGTAGTTCTTGTCAATATCCTAGTTATAAGTCATCATTTTTGTCGTCAATTGGCCATCAAAACCGCTTGGGATTGCGATTTTTATCTTAAGGTTTGCGGGGTATAAAACGTTGATTCGCCTTCGATTGGCCATTGATCAGTCACGATTTGATAGGTGTTTTGGTCGTCGGGGGAGGTGAGGTCGACGGCAAAGGCGATGGTTGGCGTGGGTTTAGGGATTGAAATGAAGGTTTTTAAAGTTTTGAGATTATTTCAAAATTTATGTGTGTGTTTTTAAAAAATCTATAATTTTATTTTTTATTTTATATAAAATTCTAAATTTATCAAATTGTGACACATGTCACTTTAACAGAGGAAAGTAACGTCGTTGACGGCTTGACCCATTTTGAGTAACAAAATGAAACGTCATGCACCAAATTGGAACGAAATATACGTCAGAAACCAAACTGGAACGAAATAAACTTTAGGCACTAAACTGGAAAACATACAGAGGTTGGACACCTTTTGTATATTTAAGCATATTTTTTTAAAAAATATTTAATATTCAATTATTTAGTGATATTATTAAAAGTATTTTTTAAATAATATTTAAATTCATTAATATTATTTTTAATACATGTATCATATATGGACCTAGCAAACTTGACCCGAAAATCGATTATCCAAACCGATTTACCTGACTTAATACCCGATATTAACCCGAACATGTTGATTAAATTTGATTCGAAACTCGAATCATACCCGACCCAAACCATACCCAATCCAAAATTTAGCTGAACCAATATGGATCCATATCCAATTTGACTCGAACCAAAAGCAACCTAAACATAAATTAACCCAAAATTAAAAGCAACCCGAACCGAATTTAAATCGATCCGAAAATAACCCGAACCTAACGTAATCCAAACAATTAAAGTTTACTTATGTTAAATAATAAGAGGAATATTTAAAACAATAACAACTAAAGTTACTTATAATAAAAATATTATATTTATAATAAAAATATTAGAAAATAACTAAAACAAAGGAAATAATATTAGATTTACAATAAAAATAATAAAAAGTTAATTACGTAACAATTAAAACATAACAAATAAAGACGTAAAGTTATGTATTGTTTTTTAATATTTAATAAAAATAGTATAATTATAATTGAAAATAAAATTTTATTTCTTTATCAAATAGTTGTCATTATAAATTTTCTGTACAAGATCAATATAAAACTTTGGTAACAAACTCTAACATATATTATAAGATGGTATTTATGTCAAATTATCAATTTATCATCTTTAAATGATAGTTTAATTCAAAACATTGAATGAATAAAAATTTGAATTAAGTCTAATTGTCTAAATAATAAGATTAAGAAACAAAAATACAACTTTTTTTTATAAGAATATATTAATAATTCTATATATATACTTGATTAGGCTCGTAACCAATTCAACTTGAATTAACCTAAACTAAAGTTTGACCGAAATCGAAAATCATCTGATCCGATATTGATCCGACTCGATATTGATCCGAACCAAAATCTAATCGATCCGGTATTAACCTGACCCAAAAATCAATCGATCTAATATTGATGCAAACCGAAAAACAACCGATTCGATAATCACCTGACCTAAAAATTGACTCGACCCGACCCAATTTACCATACACCTAAACTAAATCCAAACCAAATCTGAACCAACCCGAATAAAATTAAACCAAATATAATATAGACTCAAAATGACCTGACCCAAACCCGATTCGAATGACCTGTTTGCCACCTCTAATTATATATCAATTATATTGAAATTATTATTTTATTAAATTAATTAAATAATATAATTTCTTTATCTTAATATATATTTTTAATATACTAAGATAGTTGAAAATTTAAATTATACAACAACTAAAAAATAAATGATTTAATTTAATAATTTATTTAATTAAATCAATAGTATTATTTATTAATTTGATATACTTTTTTAGTGATTTATTTGATTATATAATATGTAAAATGTGAAGGATAATCGATCACTATTATTTAAATTGATTGTTATACAAATTTATTAAGATGAAATTGAAGAAAAATCAATCATCATACATCATTGTTCAAGCCACATCCAACAATATATTTTTGAGCTAATTTATTGTTAATTTATTTATATATATATTATATTTTAAAACTATATATAAAAATAATATCATCCTAACATTAATTAAAGAAATATCATTCACTTTTATCATTTATAATAAACAAGTATCCTACCAATTGTATTTATCAATCAATAAATATATCAATTTATGAGAAAAGTGTATTTGATTAGTCGTATTTTTTTAAGATTTGATCACACAATAGGTAAGGGTTGTAACTGGTTAAGTTAGATAAGATTTTTGGCCAATTTAATTTGACTTGAGTTCGGAGTGGTCTCATCCAACCTAAAAGTTTACCTGAGTTTTTAGATAAAAATCAATATTTGACTCGACTTGACAGACAAATATAAAAAAATATTTTATTTAGCAAAATAGAGACTTGATTAATATATATATATATATATATATAAGAAAATTATAATAATTATCTCTAGATATATGGGAAAAAACTATACTATTGTCTCGAGTCGGGACAAAGTGTTTTCACTCCTAAACCCTAAAACACAATTTAACTTTATCTTAAAAAACTTGAATTCATTGAATCATATCAGATAAAAAAATCATTTAATTCGAGTTAAATTATTACCTCTAATAATAAAGTCATAAAAACTTTAATACCTTGTAAAAAACAATGATAATTGAAGAAAATGAATGAATCAAATTGTTATTCACATCATACAAACTTAGATCATTTAAGCCCATTACAATTACTTAAAAGTGTTTATAACCCAAATTCTAACAAATTAATAAAACTGCAGAACAGACTTACAGCCATCTATTATGTTACTAAATGACCCAATTAACCTTTAAAGACTCAAATAATATCAACAATTAAATATAGCCCAATAAAAATTTAATTACTCATCCGTCCAACACTGATTCCTAACAAATTTTTTTTATCAAATTTAATTAGAGTTAATTGCATCACACATCCCTAAATTATGACATTTATTTTAAATAAATTCTCAAACTTTTGAATATTTCAATTTCATCTCAAAACTATGACCTTCACTCTAGATTATCCCAAAGTTTTAAATCTCCTAATTTGGTCTTAAATTCATTCAAACATGTATTTAGTTTTAACCATAACCTAATATTGACAAACATATAATAATATAGTTTGATCTAAAGATTTTATTAACATAAGGTGTGATCAATATATACTGATAGTTTAAGATGAAATTCAAATTTTCAAAAGTTTGAAGATCAAATTGGAATAAAAATTATAACTTGAAGATGAAATCGAAATGTTCAAAATTTTAAAAACTAATTTTAAATAAAAATTATAATTTAAAAACGTATAGTATAATTAACTCATTTAAAAATTAAAGTTAAATACCATATCTTTATATATATATATATAGTGGAAAGATCATGCAGGCTATATATATTAATTCATGGAATATGTTCATTATGGAAAAAAAATGATCATATTGCCATATAAAAATAATGGAAAAAAATGAATATCCAAAGATATAAATTTGTGCATATCTGATTAAAAAGAGGCATTTCTTTCTCTTTCTAAATCTCTAGTGAAAAGATGGGTATTTTTCCTTGCATTCCTTATAGGGATGGAACAGGATTACTTTCCTTAAATACAATTTTTTAATACCATTAATGAATTTCAAATTTGACAATTTCATGTTATACATAATCAATAGTAATCCTAAATACATTAGAAAATGGTAAAATTGTGTGTTTAAGAATTTAATTAATTTTTTTATAATTACTTATAAATATAAAATATATAAAATGTTAATTAAAATATATTATTTTTATTATTTTTTCGATTAAAAATTTCGAATTGTATCAAGCACATTCGAGGAATATTTAAAAATCAAACACGTGTGATCCATGCACAAGACTACCATGCAGATGCTGAGTACTTCTGTGGGCCCTTTGTTTTTATATATAATTTACTTATTAATTATGGAAGTTATATTTATGAATGGTAATTAGTAATGTGCTAAAAAAACAATAAGCTTAATAAAGATAAAACAGAAAGGTGGATTCTCAATAAATAATGCCAGATATGATATTAATATAACATACCAAAAAAGCACATTATGCCAAATTAAAAAAAAAAACTAATTTTTCAAATTTAAAATATTGAGGTAAAAATAAAAAAATAATAATTTATTAAATTATTAGGTGGCTTTATTTGGTATGTATAAGCGAATCTAGGGATAAACCAAATTAGTTATTTTCGAATATCTAATGAAATTACATTTTTATCCATCTCGGGACATTTAGAAAAGATTATTGATGGTTAGCTCTTTACAACACATGATTTTTAGGTTAAATAACTCTTGTAGCCCTTGTACTATAGTTGAATAATCAATTTAGTACATGTATATTTTTTTATTCATTCGGCCCTACACAATTATGTTATATTCACTTCATCCCATCATATTTTCTTTCGTTAATAA